ATCTATGAAGTTCATATTTAGGAACCACAACACCCAACAGACATCAGTAACAATTTTCTTAGGCTGGAGAGATGGCTCAGAGGTGCTCTTCCAGAGAAGCAGAGTTCAATTCCTAGAACCTACAAGGCAGGTCACAACGGTCTGCAATTCTAGTCCCTGGGAAGTCTAACACCCTCTTCTGGCTTTCAAGGGCACTGCATGCATGTGGTATGCAGATTTCATACACATAAGTTGATTTATCACCACCTTCAAGATTTCAACATCTCCTCTGGCCAACTATCTTTGTCTACAACATCCTAACCTAGCGATTCCACATCAGCCTCTTTATGAGCTGCTGAAAGACTGTTTCTCCTCACCTCTTACCTTAATGGAAGTTTTTCCTTTCCCTTTATGGTCCCATGACTGCTGAATTCGGCCTCTGCGACACCCTATAACCAAGGTATGTCTCAAACTGGAACAAATCATTCTACCTCAGCCTCCTCCTACTCAACTTAATGGCGCTATTACCCATCATTAATGCAAGAAATCTAGTTATACTCTTAAGATACCCTGACCCCTTTAAGAAATCTCTAATCCCTATTTTAAATATTTTCTAGACAGAATCATTTGCACCTTAAGCTGACCGCACAAAGCACTTTTCAACTGGAATATCCCAATATCCGCCTACCTCTAAATTCTCTTGCTCCAGGGCAGGCTATTTAATACCACTATTCTCCAGAGGGGAATCTACCCAGAGAAGGTCCCCCCCACCCCTTAAGACAAAGTCTCACAATGTAGCATTGGCTGGCCTAGAACTTGCTTTGTAGACCATGCAGTCCTTGAACTCAGAAAGATCTAACCCCAGGTGCTGGGATTAAAGATGTGCGCCACCACCATGTACAGTGGGAACATTTTTCTTAACTTTTAAAGAGACATGAAAAAGAAAAGAAGTCACTAGGTATGGTGGTGCATTGCCTGTAATCCCAATCCTAGGGGATGTAGACATAGGCCAGCCACCGGTAGAGTCAGACTGTTCCCTTATGATGGAGAAGACAAAAAATAGTGATGTGAAATAGCTTGTGATGATGTCCTTTCACTCCAACCCTTAGAAGGCAGAGGCAGGTGGACCACTGTGAGTTCGATGCACACAGACAAGCAAGGACAGTATTGGAGCAGTAACTGAGAGATTCCATTTTGTCCACAAGTTGGAAGCAAAGATGGACTTTTGAAAATCAAGGACAACCCTCAGTGACACACCTCCTCCAAAAAGCCACACCTCCTAATCCTTCCCCGGGTAGACAATTTCACCAAGGGACCAAGTATTTAAATACATAAACCACGCTGGGTATGGTTAATCCTAGTTTGTAGTAATGCACATCTTTAATCCTAGCACCCAGGAGGCAGGCCAACCTGGTCTACATAGGACAACCAGGACAGCCAAGGCTATGTAGAAAGATCCTGTCTCAAACCCCCCCCCACAAAAAACCCCCCAAAACAAAAACCCAAAAACAAACAAAAAAACCCCCACACAAACACAAGCCTATGGGGCCATCGTCACTCAAACCACCACACACATAAAACTTCACTGACAGAGAAGGGCACGCCAATATACGTATCAAATTGCGGTACGATTTTGTTCCAACTATTCACACACATTTTAAAACACCAGTATCTATGACAACAAACTACTATGGATTATCAAGTTCTCTTTTCCACCTGGGCATCAGGACACATCTTTAACCTCAGTACTGAGGAGGCACAGACGGGGACACTGTTGCAAGGGAGTCCCAGATGAGCCCAGCTATATATAGTGTGACCCTGACTCAAAACAGTCAAAATAAACAAGACATGCAACTGACTTTCCAAAGCATTTTACCTTATGTACCAAGTCTCCACATATAACTTTATAAGTTCTTCTGTTTCTTGGGGGAGGGGTAAATAGTGTGTGTGGGAGGGGATAGAGATTAAACCTGCAGCTCCCCACATGCTAGGCAAGCATTCTATCACTAAGTTATCCCAGGAGTCCTCACAGAACTTCCTGAATTTTCAACTCCATATACACTGTTCTTGCTGGAGGTCTCAGTTCACGCTATATTGGCCGTTTCAAGACAGGGTTTCTCTGTGTAGCCATGGCTGTCCTGAAACTTTGTCTGTAGACCAGGTTGGTCTTGAACTCAGAAATCCACCTGTGTCTGCCTCTCATTAGGAGTGCTGAGTTAAAGGTGTGTGTCACTACCGCCGGCTAATAAGCACTTTTTCATTTGTCGGTTACAGTATTTTTTTTCCTGAGTCAGAGTTCTTGTTATATAGGCCATGATGGCCTTAACTCTGTACATAGCCAGCCTGATCCTGAATGTTCTAACCCCCTGCCACTGCCTTCACAGCACCTGGACCACAAGAATAAACTGTCGTTTCCAGATTGTTTCTGTGTAGTTTGTGTGAGCTGAGTCTGTGCTCTCTGAGATGTGACCCCAGCAGTCATCAGCAAACATTTCTTTTCTGTTGTTCTTTTGTTAACTGATTTGGTGGGGTGAATTAAAGCCCCAAACCAGTACACTGACTGGGCTTGCTTCAGCCTGGTATGCCCTCCTGAAGAGCATCTTGGTGTTGGAGAAACAACGAAGTGTGCCTGGTGGCAGAGACCACAACATGAAATGACAACCTCTAATCACAGGGAGACTTCTCAGAGAAACCAGCCTTCTAACCTGCTACACGACAAACACCAAAATAGGGTTTTTAGGAAAGACTTCTGTCTAGAATAACATATAGTTTATTCATGCCTTGTTTGAGTGGTCTCTAAGCTTTGAAAATTAGATTTAAAAACCTATCTGTGCTGGGTTGTGGTGGTGCAGGCCTTTAATCCCAGTACTTGGGAGGCAGAGGCAGTGAGTTCAAGGTCAACCTGGTCTACACTGGAGTGCCGGGACAGGCTCCAAAGCTACAGAGGAAACCCTTCCAAAACAAACAAACAAAAATCCAAGAAAAAAAGCCTATCTACACTAAGCTAGATACAGAGAAAGGGATGGCTTTCTCTATTTCAACTCAACATCACTCTACTAAAGAGATTCTTTAGTAGAATCTTTCTAAAGAGACCACGTGATGTACTAGTTTGAAAACTTACTGTTGCCATTGGTGTGAAGGATTAAAAAAAATAAAACCCTACGGTGTCATTTTGAGGTTGTTCTGAACTGCCTGTTTACCCACGATTCGGTCTCACTTTACTGGGGGTTCCCCCTGGCTCGCTCATCTTTCATATAGGCTCTGGCCAATCGTTCTCCAATGGATGGAGGCATCTCACAAATGCTCGCCCGGCTTGATGCTCAGCCTGGATGTCTCGTCTTCCCATGGCTTCCTAGTCTTTGCTTGGAGCACCATCACAGTATGTGACATCACCGTGGTTCCCACACTGCCATCAATAACTAACGTTGATTTGACATATTCCATTGCTGGGCACATCTTAACCACTTCCCACATACTACCTGCTTTTGTCCTCCCAACTCTATTGGGCAGGTACTATTTTCCAAACGGGAAAGCAGAGCCATCTAGCTCCTGGATGAGAACCCAGCCATCTGGTTGCAGTGTCTGAGCCTACACTCTTTACAGCACCCCACGCTCCTACTGAGCGCACTCTGGACTCCTAGGGGAAAACAAGAGCAAACACTCACTGAGAACGAGCACTGGAAGCTAAGCGCTTGAGATACTGAAACGTGAAGGGGAAGGCTGGAAACGTGACTTCAAGTACGGTGCATCACACCAGATCAAGCTAAAACAAGTCAGAAAAAAGCCGAGTCCCTTTCTCTATCCCATGGTGTCTTCCAGATTCTTGCAGAAGCAACGGAAATTATCAGTTACCGAGCAGTCAGGAGAGCCTTTCACCTCTCTTCAGAGGGACAGAAGTACACAATTCGCAGTTGGAAAGGGCTGTCCCAAAACACGTAAATCTAATTTGTTACTGATGGCAAAACACCGAAGGCACAAGCTGATTTCGGTTTTCTGGCTTAATATTCGCTTTATAATTCACAGAACAAGGTTCCCATATGTGTGGATATATATATTTAGACCAAATCTCCTCTGTCGGTCCAGAACTCACTTTGTAGACCAGACTGGCCACGAATTCGCAGCAATCTTTCTGCCTCAGCCTACAGAGTGCGCCACCAGTACCGGCCGAGTCTAGTCTGAAATCACCGTCCCATTTTACAGGAGGAGAAACTGCGGCAGCGAGCGAGCCACACTGCTGCAAGCCTCGTCTCTGCGGTCACCAACTCCATCCGTGACATTCCGCCCCTCTGAGTTTCAGCAGCCACGAAGTCTTGAACCCGGAGCAGGCGGACTCCCTTCCCACTTCACTTTCCCCGCAGGGCCCGCCAGGCTGCAGCGAGTCACCAAACGCCCGGTCCCGACTCCCGGCAAAGCCCCGAGGCCATTCACCTGCGGGTCAGCCCGGGGAACTCACTCACCTCTCGACGCCGGAGCCAGAGCGCCTGCGGAGGTCCGCGGGGCGGCGACTCCCGGCGGCAGGCGCGAGCCGGCTCGCTCCGGACCACGTCCGCCGAGCGCCCCCGTG